GCAAAAAATAATAATAATAATAATAATAATAAATAAATCATCAAAACTCAAAAATACAAAAAGAGGCATAACTAATACTTACCTTATTGTATTGCAATCTAATAAAACTTATGAAATTAACACAATCTAAACTCAATATGTATTGGACTAACATTTAACAATTTTGATATTTTCATTACAAAGATAAACGTTTTGAGAAGAATAAATTTAAATTAACAATATAAATTGACACAAAAAAAAAAAAAAAAAATTACAGTCCATCTTTGTGTTGAATGATTACCCCACTCTTTCTTCGCCCTCCAGTAAGGAATTTGATGAATTGATAATTCTCAACCTCCTCTTTTCTTTCATCAATCTCGTTACCTTTTATATATATATCAATGTTTGCCTTAAGGAACTTTAATTCTATCTTATTAATATTTTGTGTCTTTTGGTTGTCTTCTCCAAAAGGAAGCATATTATACAATTGTAATAACCACAATTTAATTTAAAAGGCATTGATTCATATTAAAAATATTGACCATCATCATAAAAGGAAACGTTTAACAATGTAATTATTATATAGGAATAAGATAACGAAACGTTTTTAACCATATAATTTTATAAATAAGATGCCAAAGAACGTTTGTGTCCTTTAGGGTGGTCTTCACCAAAAGAAAACATAGTATAAAATTAATAGTAACCAAAATTTAATTTAAGAGCTATTATCTAATGTAAAAAATATTTGAAAATTAAAAATATTCTACTCATATTAAAAATACAATTGTTATATAAGAATAAGATGGAAGGAAACAAATTTAAAAAATGAAAATAAAAAATACATCCTTGGGGGTGGTCTTCACCAAAAGAAAACATAGTATAAAATTAATAGTAACCAAAATTTAATTTAAAAGCTAACATATAATTTTAGAAATAAGATGCCAAAGAAATGTTTGTGTAAAAGGGTGGTCTTCACCAAAAGAAAACATAGTATAAAATTAATAGTAACCAAAATTTAATTTAAAAGCTATTAGCTAATGTAAAAAATACTTAAAAAATATTTGAAAATTAAAAATATCCTACTCATACTAAAAATACAATTGTTATATAAGAATAAGATGGAAGGAAATGTATTTTAAAAAAAATTACAAAAAAAAAAAAAAAAAAAATCCTTGGGGTGGTCTTCACCAAAAGAAAACATAGTATAAAATTAATAGTAACCAAAATTTAATTTAAAAGCTAAGCTATTAACTAATATAAAAAATAGTAAAAAATGTTTAAAAATTCAAAATGTCCTGCTCATATTACAAATAGAAGTTTGTGTCCACCATTAAAGGAAACATATAAGAATACAATTATTATATAAGAATAAGATGGAAGGAAATGTAAAAAAAAAAAAAAAAAAAAAAAAAAAAAAAATTACAGTATGAATTATAAGATGAATCATTAAGTGTTGTAATTTGATATGGGTCATTAGGTGCTATAATGAGAATTTTTATTAAAAAATAAATAAAATCTAAAAATGTTAAGAAATTAACTACACTTTTATAATAGTATGTATATATATATATATATATATATATATATATATATATATATATTTGATTTGATGACACATGGTGTGTGTTTTTTATAATAATAATAATAAGTGTAAAATGCACTCAACCCTCCGAGCTATGCCCCAATTGCAAGAAGTCCCAATTGCAAGAAATCCCTTGAAGTAAGTAAAACCCCCTTGAACTAAGCCATTAACAGAAAATATAAATTACCGTTTAGCCCTTAAGTTAAATGACAAGGTTCTGAGTTATATACAACTTTAATGGCTAATGTGGCAAAATTGGATATAATGTACAAAAATACCCTCATTTAAAATTGGGTGTATGTACAAAAATACCCTCATTTTGAATCTGCCACCTCATAATAACTTGGGCATTTGTGTAATTTTATTTTAAAAAAACTAAATAAACGCCGCCACGATTTAAGCAAGCTTTTGCTACTGACGCGAAAATTTGATAGGTTTGACAACGCCGCCATATGCCCAGACCAACGTCGCCGACAACGAGAAATATGGCTAAAGGAGAGGTTGTGGAGATCAGAGTGAAACCCAGACCAAAGCTGCTATGATTTGAGCAAGCTTTTGCTAGCGACGCGAAAATTTGATGCGTTTGACAACGCCGCCATATGCCCAGACCAACGTCGCCGCCGACGGAGACGACGAGAAATATGGCTAGAAGAGAAGTTGCAAAGATCAGAGTGAAGCCCAGACCAAAGCTGCGGAGATCAGAGTGAAGCCCAGACCAAAGCTGCCACGATTTGAGCAAGCTTCTGCCAGTGAGGCGAAAAGTGGGTGATGCGTTTGACAGCACAGTCCAGGAATTTGGGGATGAGGCGGTCGAGTGGTGGTTTGGTGAATTGGAGGCGTCGCGATCCTTGGAGAAAGGGATTAACGGAGGAAAAAGGTTTTGACGATGGAGGAATAAGTGGTGGTGGTGCCTCTATTTTCTCTCTCCATCGATTTCTGTTGCCGATTATGGGTTTGGGGATAGTAGGGGTGGTGGCACCACGATGGTTATAAGGTGGGAATGGTGGTAGCAGTTACAACGATGGGATGGTGGCGCGGTGGAGGCTCGGTGGTTATCTCTTCCGTTGATTTCTGCTGCTGATTGTGGGTTTGGGGATAGTGGTGATGGTGACGTCGGTGTGGTGTGGTATGGTGGTGTCGCGATAGTACGTTGTAAAGTGGGAATGGTGGTGGCACCGCGGTGGTGTAAGGTAAGAATGCTATAAGGTCAATTTTGTCTAAACTGAATTGTTAATGAAACGTTAAGGGGGTTAAGTGTATTTGTGATAGTTGAGAGAAATTTTTTGAGAAAAGGTAAAAAAGTTTAAAGAAATTTAGTACACTTTACCTTTATAATAATGGTCTGTCAAACGTGGACCACTATGTCCATTACATTTTCTAATATGTGATCCTTAATTACAAGTGAGTTTTTAATATGGAAACAGTGTAATACAACTCCATAAAGTTTTGATATGCCAATTATTTATTCAATGATCATTTTATATATATATATATATATATATATATATATATATATATATATATTTTGGGCAGAATATTGAAGTAAATTTCTTATCATGGTTCTTTGTTTAATTGTAGCAAACAATTACGTTGCATTAAGTTTTGATTATTATGTAAAGGACAATACTCAGATCCTCATTAATGAGGATTTATAATATCCTTATCTCTTATGTGGTCCAATAAAATTAAAAATAAAATAGTCATCTTTAATTAAACAAGTCAAAAAAAAAAAAAAAATAAAGAAATAGAAAAAAAACTGGGATCCTACCTGAATAAAATTGGGTAAAGAGGGTTCAATTTTAGATTTTTTTTTTTTTTTTTTTTTTTTTCTAGGGTTCAACATCTGTCGCTTTCAGCACTCTCTCTCCGCCATTTTCTTCCTCTCATGTTTCTAGTCCTGGACATCATCATTCAATTGTCAAGAATATTTGAAGGAGGTATGATGTATTATTGGCAATTAAATGATGATGTTCAGGACTAGAAACTTGAGAGGAAGAAGATGATGGAGAGAGAGGACTGAAGGCTGGTGCCAGAAAGAGAGAACCAGATGTTGAATCCTATAAAAAATAAAAATAAAAAAATTACTGAACCCTCTTTATCCGATTTTATTCGGGTAGGATCGAGTTTATTTTCTCTTTCTTTATTTTTCTGACTTGTTTAAAAAAAGATGAGATGTTTTATTTTTATTGGACCACACAATTAGAGGTGAGGACATTGTACATCCTCATTGTCCTTATTAAAATTAAGTTGAGGTTAACATTTAGAATCAAAAAGTACTTTAGTAATAGTTTTTCAATATATATATATATAAAACACCATCATTGACTATTTGAGTAATATGTAACAAGATAAAAAGAAAAGAAACAAGGAAAAGTTTGATTCTCCCATTAATCACATATGAAACCAAATTTTACCATGAACTCTTACCAATTAAGTCCGCCTTTATGGTTTGTTTTATGCTGATGAAAATAAATATTTTTAAATTAATAATAATAATAATAATAATAATAATAATAATAATCCATTATTTTTAGTAAATATTGGTCTTATGGTGCTGGAATATTTATGTAATAGTAGTTGCAATTCTTTTATAAGGTAAATAATTTAAATTGTGAGTCTGTTTCTTTCTAATATGCGTGTATATATTTCATGTAACTAACTAAAATTATTTCTCTGAGGAAAAAATTGTCATTTATTATAGAATTTTGATTATATATTGATGCAATTGATTTTTATTTTTATTTTTATTTTTATTTTTAATTGACAAAAAACTCACATACTCATTTATTCTTATCAAAAAGTGAACCCTCACCATTTTTTTTAAAAAAATTTGAATTGTATAAAAGGGGCACTCCCTTTTGCTACTTAGGAACTTTACCATGTAAAAAAAAGAAAAGAAAAAAATCACTTTGCCATAAACTTGGTTTATAACATAATTTTATATATTTTTGAGAATTTTTTTTAATAAAATAGATACTGGAGTAGTTGTTTACGGTGCTGAGTGCTTAAGTACAATTGCTATTTAATAGCTATAAAATAAAATAATGAAAGAGAATAACTAAAAAGATTAATTAATTATGCAATCAATTTGTTGCTTTTACATTAGAAAAAATGACCATATTACTCTGAGAGAAATATTTTTATATTATGATTTAATTGGAAAAAATAAAAGTCCATAATTGTCCAAATGCATACAAAATATTACGAATGAAAAATTTAGAACACATATTTTGTCAATATAAAAAGTATAATCACGTCTTGCTAAGGAGGACTTTAGTCAAGACTAATAAAAGGCCGACACATATCATGTAGTGTGCAACGAGGGATCTAAAACGTACATTATGTAACCTCCAAGAAATTGAAAATAAAGGGACTTTTATGCAATTAACCTACTTCAAATCTTGGGCACGAAGAAAGCTCGATCCTTATATATTGAAGACTTCCTTTGTCCCCAAATCATCAGTCACCAAGTCACACAACCTCTGAACCCAAAAAATCAACGTCTCAAGAATTTTCTGAATCAAGAATCCCACAATGGCTCCAACTAACTCTTTCCTTCTCGGCCCTCCAGAGATCTACCGACCGTCGCCTTCCGCCGCCGCTGCCTCCTCGGCAACCACCACCAAGAGCGGCGACCCATTCATGGACCTTATGGTGGCCAATTTCAACAACGAATCACCCTCACGGAGCCGCCCTCCCATGGGCTACACCGAGAACATGTCAGCCACCTACCTCTCCACCGGCAACCCTTGCCTCGATTTCTTCTTCCACGTCGTCCCCGGCACTCCGGCCCACAGCCTCACCGGACGCCTACAATCTGCCTGGGACCACAACCCCTTGACGGCCCTAAAACTCGTCTGCAACTTGCGAGGGGTTCGTGGCACCGGAAAATCGGACAAGGAAGGATACTACTCGGCGGCTCTCTGGATTCACAATCACCATCCCAAAACCCTAGCCTGCAATGTCGGCTCACTCGCCGATTTTGGTTATTTCAAGGACCTGCCGGAGATTCTCTACCGCCTTCTTGAAGGGTCCGATGTTCGCCAAAAAGCCAAGGCAGAGTGGTTGAGTCGTAAAGGCGTGAAGCGACGAAACGTGCGGTCGCCGACGTATCTGAGGCACCGAGGTGGAAGAAGAGGAGTAGTATTCGATCACAACAAGAAAGTGAAACATAAAAGATCGAATAAATCAAAATCCTCGAGGGAGGCTAGGGTTTTGGCGGAGATGAAGAGGGCGGAGATTGAGCAGGAGAAGGCGAGAAATTCGAGGGAAGAGAAGAGGATCGCCATGGCCAAGAAGGTCGTCGAACGTTACAGTCGCGACCCGGATTACCGCTTCCTTTACGACCGCGTCTCTGATCTCTTCGCCGATCTTCTCAAATCCGATCTTCTGTCCTTGAATTCAGGCGAATCAAAGAAGATCAGTCTTGCCGCGAAATGGTGTCCTTCGCTCGACTCTTCATTCGATCGGAACACTCTGATCTGCGAGAGCATTGCCAGAAAAGTTTTCCCACGCGAATCGCATCCGGAATACGAAGGCATCGAAGACGCACACTATGCGTATAGGGTTCGTGATCGTCTGCGAAAGGAAATCCTGGTGCCGCTGCGCAAAGCCCTAGAGTTGCCGGAGGTTTACATCGGAGCCAACCAGTGGAATATGCTCAAATACAACCGTGTCGCCTCCGTCGCCATGAAAAACTACAAAGAGAAATTCCTTAAGCATGACAAAGATAGGTTCGAAGCGTACCTCGAGAAGGTGAAATCCGGGAAGGCGACGATTGCAGCCGGAGCTCTGTTGCCCCACGAGATCATAGAATCGCTGAACGATGGAGATGGTGGCCAAGTGGCAGAGCTGCAATGGAAGAGAATGGTGGAAGACCTTTCCAAGAAAGGAAAATTGAAGAATTGTCTGGCAATCTGTGATGTGTCAGGAAGTATGAGTGGTACTCCCATGGAAGTCTCGGTTGCACTCGGCGTGTTAGTATCAGAATTGAGCGAAGAGCCGTGGAAGGGGAAGCTCATTACATTCAGCGCCAACCCAAAGCTTCAGATGGTTGAAGGCGAAGATTTGAGATCGAAAACAAATTTTGTGAGGAGGATGGAATGGGGGATGAATACTAATTTTCAGAAGGTGTTTGATTTGATTCTGCAAGTGGCTGTGAATGGGAATTTGAGCCAAGACCAGATGATCAAGCGAGTATTTGTGTTCTCTGACATGGAGTTTGATCAGGCTTCATCTAATCCTTGGAAGACGGACTACCAGGTGATAACAAATAAGTTTACACAGAAAGGGTATGGCTTGTCGGTGCCGGAGATTGTGTTTTGGAACTTGAGGGATTCGAGGGCGACTCCAGTGCCTGCGGATCAGAAAGGGGTGGCACTTGTTAGTGGGTACTCGAAGAACTTGATGACATTGTTCTTGGAGGACAGTGGAGCTTTAAATCCTGAGGCTGTCATGGAAGCTGCCATCTCTGGTGAAGAGTATAAGAAGCTGGTTGTGCTAGATTGATCATATTCTGTACATGACTGAACAGTGAACATGTAGGAGTAAATGGTTTTTTAGTTTTTTTCTGCTTTTTAATAAAGTCTTTTTGGTGATGAATGAGAAAAATATATAAAACTTTGGTTTCAAATTTCCAATGTTCTCGGAGTTCATTCTTTTCTCTGAATGTGTGAATAATTGCAAACCGTATCTCAATTACTGATTGAATAGTACACTGCCAAAAGGACAGCACTCTGCTAATAAGAACCAAAGAAAGGATGGGCCACTGAATGATTCAACTTCTTCCTTGCAAATGGGGCGTATTCCATATGGAGGAATTTTTTCTTTTTCTTTTTCTTTTTCTTTCTGTGATCATACACTGTTATGTGGGTGAGTAAAAAACATGCACAATCTCAATAGTAATTTTCCAAATCTTTTAATCAATATCCCAGTTAATTCCTTTTATCTTTGTATTGATTACTTGCATGGATTATTTGCATTTTTCTATTTGTTCTTTGAGTTGAAGAATGGAAAACAGAGCTAAGCATCAAATTGTTCTGAGTAATTTAGGCTACTGACATACTATGTTCTTAGGGAATTCATTTCTTTTGTGATTATAGTTTTGTTGGTTTATATGAAATAGTGTAGAGAGAAGAACTTAGAGATCAGTGGACTTGGGGGAGAGCTGCACATGGTCTCAATCCTACTGTTATTGCATGATTTGGAGCTAATTTACAGAGCCTTTGGAATACATGCTCTCTTTGATGTGCCGAATTTTGATGATATGGCATTGACACCTTCATTTTGGTTAAGAGGTATATGGAAGACTTCCTTTTCCTCTGTTGTGCTTCAGCTGTTGCTTTTTGGGCTAATGCGCATTACATCATTGTTTACTGATTATTCCGTTTATCATTCTTCTGCACAAAACAAATGGACCTGGATTTCTCGTAATTGCTGTTAATCTTCTCTTCATAACTTTATTAGTGTAGAGCTTTGCCTGCCTTTCCATGAATATTTTGTCTGGAAGTTTTAAGCTCTCTTTGATTAATTCTAATTTGAGCTGATTTTGAAAACTAGATTCTACATTAGTACTGATCTAATATAAGATTTTTGATCGGTCTATCATACTTGTTAAGAAAAGGAAAAAAAAATTTCTCACCACCCAAATCGAGCATAATTTCTTTTATTCTCAGATTGATCTTACCCGACTTTCTGGAGGTTTAGACTTATCCTTGTGTGTATATTTTTTGATGCAGCAATTGGGTTGAATGTGGAAACAGTGCAATACAACAACATAAAGTTTCAAGTTTGGGATATGGGTATGCCAATTATTTACTCAATGATCTTTTTATATATTTTATACTACGTATGTTTTTGGCAGAATATTGAAGGAAATCTCATCATGGTTCTTTGATTAATGGTAGCAAACAATTACGTTGCATTGCATTGAGTTTTGATTAGTGTGTACTGGTTATTAAAATTTACTGGAAATGTTAGCTCAACTGCTGTCATTCAACCACGATTTTGATAGATATTGGTCCGGAATTGATATATGCCAGTCCTTTGGATTTGAGAAGCAGATTTAGATTTTATCCTTGTGGCAATGGATGTTAGGTTATTGATAATTATCTGGACAAGTCAACCATCCTAACTCATTGGAACTTTATTAGTCGAATAATCATATTTGAGGAATCAACCCTATCATAAATAGCATTGCTGAAAGATCAATGTTATGCCAAAGGAATGGTTTCATGTTTTGGCACTTGGTTTGGAGTTGCGATCTCATATGTGCTGAACTAATTGATTGAATGAAGAGATCAACCAGTGACGCTATTTTTGGAAAATGTGATCTCTTCTGCTACAAAAATTACTCCCCAAATTTTTTCAGAATGTTTTTTAGGTTCTGATGTTGGTTGGTGAAGGATGATCATAATCTAGGACTATGTTTTTGACTGAAAGTTTTAACTATTTTTTTTATTGTTTTCCTTGCAAGTGTCATGGACTCACATTGTTATTAAGCTCAAGAACGATAACCTTAAAATGGCTTGCACAGCTCACATTTGTTTCCATTCATTAATTATTAAATTTTTTAAATAAAAAAAAAAAACTGAAAGAATAGAAAATATGAAGTTAAAACTCAAAGCTATGGACGATGAAGCCAGTGTTTCCGAACTGAATTTTTCCGACAAGCTTCATCGACCAAATGAGGAGCATAGCTATACTCTCCGTCTCCTTCTCCTTCAACACCACAGCGGCAACCACCCACCATGGAGAATTGCGGTTCTCTTACAGATATATATATGTGTGTGTGTGTGTCTCACCATGTTACAACAATGGCGGCGATGAATCGGCGGGCCGCGGAGTTAACCTGCAAGATTCGGCACTCACTGTCGTGTATGCGAACTGAACCGTGACCAAGGAAGTGGGCGGCGGCGGAACCCATCAAGCTGTACCTTTCTTCTCTATAAGCCCATTTGTCTCGCCTCTCTCTCTATTTGTCATCTTCAACCACCACCACCATCAAATTTTCAATCAGATTCCCCACATTTACTATCACTACGCAATACAAACAGATCAAAAAATCTCAAACACGACGTTTTTAGATCTAAACTTTGAAGAATAAATTGAGAAATAGATTTTTTTTTGCAGTCGGGTCTTTCAGAAAGAGAAAGTAAAAGTGCGTCGTGGCATGATTTATGGAATGTCATGGCACGCCACATCTCATTTGAAAGATATTTCGGTGTTGAAGTCGGAAGATGTATCAGGATTCTTCTTTATTTTATTTAGATTTTGGAATTTTGGGTGCACTTTTTAGAATATTGCACGTGTTCTTCAGGGATACATCTTTAGTTGCAAGTCCGTTAAAAGCTTCCTCAGAAAGCTAGTAGTCTTTGTTGTAATGACTACCAAAAAATAAAAAAAGTCATCATGAAATCCAGTTAACGGGGCTCATTAGAAGTTTAGAATTAGAAGCAAGCCAACACAGAGACTCACCACATCAAATGTTTATCACTTAAGGTCCGTGTTTGTAGATTTTGGTTTTGGTAGAAAATTGAAATTCGAAAATATATCCATTTTATCATTTCCTTATTTATGGGTAAAGGTCTAGAGAAGTACATTTGTCTATTAACTTGTTTTTGACTCTCTCTTATCACTGATAATCAATTTCCTTCGTTAATGGGTATCAGATTGATTTCACGTTGGTGGCAGATCTTGTTCTGACCAGTTGATTGGCGTGACACGGAGTAATAGTCACTTGCAATTTATGGTCTGTCATAGGGATTTTTACATAAAAATGAGCTTAGTGGCCCATATTTACCCATACATTGAGTCAAAGCATTATAGTTTTCCTAAAATGTGTTTGACCCAAAAGCTGAGGTAGCACATGAAAAAATACTGTTTCATATTTGTGTGGTCTAAAATACCCTTTTTCTTATTTATGTGTTGCCTAAAATGCCCTTGTCCAATACATTTTAACTTTGGAGCCCTGACCGAATTCTCTCATTCGTGCACGCCTGCAAAAGGTTGACCCGAACGACGGCCACCGTCGTCTCCACTTGCTTCATGCTGTGCGGTACATCGCGTTGAACCTCGACTCACCGTACTTGATCCCCACCTTGTTGTTGTTCGTCGCCGTGAAGAGCATGTGTATGTTCAGCGACATGAAGGTGGAGGTGGTGGCGCCGGCGCCGGATGTGGTGGGGCGATTGGGCGTGATGCCCATGTACTTTTTCATGTGCAACAAATAAAATAGGGAAAAGGGTATTTTAGACCACACAAATATGAAACAGTATTTTTTCAAGTGCCACCTCAGCTCTTGGGTCAAACATATTTTAGGGAAACTATGGTGCTTTGACTCAATATATGGGTAAATATGGGCCACTAAACCCATTTTTATGTAAAAATCAATATTGATATCTTATTTTTGGTCATATATATAAAAAAATATTGTCATCTGTATTAATTGGTTTATCATTAATTATGGAGAATTTGTACTATTGATTTTCACTTTTCTTGTTGCAGTGGGAAACTGGGAATTTTCAAATGGTTTGTTTCATTAAATTTATTTTTCAGTTTGGTCAGTAGTTCTATAAAACAAAATAAAAGTCACGTCAATTTCTTGTTCTAATACTGTTTATTGATGATACAGGTGTGTAAATTAAAGAGGTCACATTGCAAGCATAGGTTGACAGCGCTCATTTGTGTATGAATATAAGTTCACCTTTTTTCTCATTCATCTCATTGGAGAGTTTCTTTGCTGCATTTCTGTTGCTTAGTTAATTATCTGTCACCTATTTGCCTTGTCCATGACGAGCAATCCTACAATTATTTTGGCAGTTGATCTGAGTCTTGAGTTCTAATGCTGTTTCGCTTCCAATTCTTCGTAAGATGCTGCTGGAATTTATTGAGATACATGAAATGAATCAGCTATATGCGTGCAATGTGACCTCTTTAATTTTATTTTTTCCTGAATAATTGTGACCTCTTTTTATGGCATATAATCCATTCACACCTCTTTAAAAAATCTCTGCATGCCTGTATACCTTATCGATGATAACAAAAGAATGTTTATTCACTGAATTGGTGTACGATCCTCCCGGTAACAGTAGTATCACCTTCCTTCAACTTTATACCAGGGGTTCGACAATGTATCTTCACCTTCTACTTTGATGGATATTTTGATAGGGATTTGTGAGTAGCCTACCATCCTAATCCTGAACTTGTGGGAAAAAAGTTCAGTTTATATAATTGTTCCATTTTCTGCTGTGAAGCATATAATGGATGGTTTTTATAAAATTATTTTCGTCGTCATGTACGTTAATTTGAGCCTCATAGACTCGTGTAATTCTCCTCAGGTCTTTCTAAATAGTAATACCAATAGCCTTGCTGGCCTTTTTTCACACAAATTCTATATCTTCCTTTAGAAGATGATGCCTTCTTTTGATCTGAAATGTTTACTACTTAATGGTGGAGTTCATGATCTTTGTTGCACATGGGATGCAATTAGAAATAATGCCTAATATACCAAAATGTGAGAATAATGCAGCCCAACTAGGAAGTATGGAACATTATAGAATGCTGAGAATTAAAAATGGTATAATAACATGTGAGGATTACTTGGAGCTTTATATATTATTTCTGTTGAGGCTGAAATTCGCGCAGTCCGATACGATATCCTTTTCCAGCAAGGAAGAGAGGACAAGATCGATGAACCTTGACAGCACCGGTGTGGTGCTTGCCAAGAGCTCGTGGTACTTGCCAAGAGCTCTCCGACGATCAAATTAGTCACGGAGGTCTAAAAAGAAGGCAGGGATCAATAATAGTTTTTGATATCGATGGTTGACCTTATCTTCCGCTTGTGTGAAATCATAGGAGATTTATTACCAAATTTGTCGGGATATGATTTAATTCTTTTGACCCCCTCTAGTTATAGTAGGATTATTCTTACTTGTTGAACCACGTCAAATTTGATTTCTTATCGAGACAGTAGGGTAGGTTTATATTTTTCCCTATCAATTTCTTTTGCTAATTTTTTTTATTTAAAATGTGATTGAATGAAGTAAATTTTTTAAAATGGATAGAACGAATTAGTCTTGCGGTAATAAAAATAGTTGAAGTACTAAGACAACTGGATTTAAATTTGCAAATAAATGAGGTTTATCTCAACTCTAAGCCTTTGTTTGGTAGGAGGGAAGGAAGAGTATTTTTTTATTTTTGATTTTTTTTGGGTGGTGGGAAGATGAAGCAAGTTTCTGTTGTTTGGTATAAGAGAGAGGAAGATGAAAGGGAAGGAAGGATGGATAAGGCTTTCCTTCCAGCTTCATTTTTCAACCATCTAAATGTGAAGTGACATTATTGCCCTTCTCTAAAACTTGCGCTTGTGTATTGGCGTAAAATTTCAAAACCTCCTGTTTCTTCCCTCTCCCCAGACAATGGAACATGTCACGTCCTTCCCTTTACTTCTATCCTCATCTCATTCTTTGTGTCAAATGGATCATAAATACCTGAAAACGTCATGCAATAAAATAGAATGAAGGATGAGATAATTTTCGTGATTTATTTCAATGATAATGATAAAATTGAAGGAGAACTGGATGTGTGCAAAAGTTGTAATGCATATAGGAAAAAGTAGATTTGACCGCTATGAGTTGTAGATCATTTTTGCTTTCTGGAGGTTGTTCTTTCGTTGAGATGTTAAATGCCAGTGACGGACCTAGGTAGAAGCTGAGTGGACCCGATGATTTGGAAATCCTCTTTGGAAATTTTTAATTGTTCTAAAGGGCTTCTTTGGAATTCAATAATATCCCCTTCCTCTAAACAAGAAAAACTAATAAATAAATAAATAAAATCGAGTCCATGATTTGGTTCTTTTGGTTGCCTTAGGCCATATTGGAGATGTTATTTTCCAAATACTCAATCCATAATCTACGTTGTTGATTCAAGTGATACTGATAGGCTGGTGATTGCCAAAGAGGAGTTTCATGCAATTTCGGAGGTACAATTGAATGCTGGTTTATGCATGTGATAATTTCTTAAGAAGATCGCTGGTCTAATGGGGGTTCTTATTTTTCTATTTTATTTATTTTCTTACCATGTGTAGTTGAAATTTGTTTTACAGATGTCAATTTCAGTATATATATAAACTCATACTATATATATAATCATAAGTAATTTAATGTTAAATAATTTAAATATGAGTTGTGAGCAACTAAATTTTTTATGATTGTTTAGATTATGAGAACAATTACTTTGGAAGCAGTAAAATTCTATATCTGGATTAGAGGCCAGTAATTCTGTACCTGGACACTTTTGGCTGCTTAAAATTTCCTCCTGTCATGTTTTTTGAAAATATATTTGGTTCATTTTAACATATTTTGTAGGCTGTCTGTTCTGTTTCCATTTTCCCTTCTCCTTTTCTATTAAACAATGGAATTACATCTAGGGCTGCAATTGAACCGAGCTGTTCATGAACAACTTGGGCTCAGCTCGGACTCATTTGTTAAGCGAACAAGCCGAGCTCGAGCTCGATTTCTAGACTCGTTTAGTAAACAAACCGATCCTGAGCAACATTGGGCTCGGCTCGTTTAGGCTCGTCAATATAAACTTGTGTAGGCTCGTATATGTTTCTGAATATAGGCTCGTATTGGGTTAATGAACAAGTTCATAGACATAGGCTTGTATAGGTTTTTGAATATAGGCTTGTGTAGGCTCGTATAAGTTCATAAACAAGTCAAAACGATATTGAACAGGAGCTCAAATCGAGCCCGAAAACTTTTGTTATTAAATGAACTGAGCCCAAGCTTTTCAAAATAGTGCCGAGCCGAGCCCGAGTTCAACTTTCTGAGCTCGTCACGATACCAAGCTGAGCCCACAAAACGAACGAGCCAAGCCTCGACTCAGTTCATTTGCAGACCTAGGTACATCTACTGCCCACCCTGCCTGGATTTAACGCTTCTAATTATCTTGCCCGTCCATGATATTTCATAATGTGAACTCAATTTTTTTGTGCCTTTTTGTCAGGAGTAAGAGTTGAAAGGTGCCGTTGTCCTCATTTTTCCAAACAAACAGGTTTGTATACCACCTGTTGATTATTCTCTGATATATTTGGAGTTGGAGGAATTAATACATTATATTGTTCCAACAACATTTAATGTTAGCCTATTGTCAGAGCAGCTTTGGCTGCTTTGAAAGCAATGTGCAACTTTTTAATGCTTTGGATGCTTATAGAATATAGATTGATCTGCAAGCAGCAAAACCTTCTGCAATGCAGCACTCGGTTGTCCTAATTTTTTTTTTCTTCTTAAAGTCATAAAGAAAATTGATTCCTTTCTCATTTTGGGGTCATGTACATGTCCTTTCGTTTTTGTTCTACAGGATCTTCCTGGTGCACTTGATGATGCTGCAATGACCGAGGCCTTAGAGTTGCACAAAATTAAAAACCGCCAGTGGGCCATTTTCAAAACTTCTGCCATAAAAGGAGAAGGCCTTTTTGAGGGCTTGGATTGGTGAGACCAGTTCTGTAATGATGTATATGTCAGTGTTGTGCTGCTATATATATAGGCCATAATTTTAGCATATCCATATACCTGTTGCTTCATGCTAGTTTTATATTCTTTTAGACACTTGTTATCATAGCTATTCAGCAGCAGCATCACAGTTTAATTTGCTTTCCATATATTAAGTTTTGTTATGGTGTGTCAATTTAATTTTATGACATTGAGGCCTTTAGGGAAGTGATTTTACCATATTACTTGGCCTGCTAAAGTTTATTATTTTTACTAGAGATTATAGATATATATATATTTTTTTTCAGGCTTGGTTTGTCATTCAATTCAAGGGATGTAGAAGCACACCTTAAAGGCTAATGCCCAAAAATGAGCAAGCTAAAGCTGTCAGCATATGTTCATTGAAATTGTGTTTCCTTGGTAGACTGAATGATCCATATTAGGTGCTGATGGACTCGGATAGTTCGCATATTACCCTGTCGTCTCTATCATGGAATATATATATATATATATATATATATATATTTTTTTTATTATTATTACTATTATTTTTTATGTGTGTGTGTGGAGATAAATAAGACATTTGTCTGGGATTATTGTACCAGTAGTGCAGATTGAAAATCATGATGTGAAATATGCTATTTCTTAGGTGTGAAATATGCTCGTGTGGTGATATGAAGTTCTTTTTCCCCGATTTTTATTTTTTCTTCCTTCTATTTTCCTTCCTTTTTAATGCAACGTCTTTTTATTATAATTTTTGCTTGGTGATCCTCTGCAATTGATTATATTTTCGATTTCTGTATGCAATTCTTTATTCAAAATTGACACCGAATTTGTAGGACACTTTCCCGTCATTTGTTTCTAAAAATAAAAAATAAAAGATCTGTAGGTGTTGGGGAAAATATTTGTAGCAATTTTCTGCTAGTGGTATGTGTGTTTTTTATAGTTTGTTGCTTTAATTCTTTGTATTTCTTTGATGGGATAACTTACTTCGCAATAAGTTAAGCCTGATTCTTTTACGTGCTTTGTGTGCAACAATAATTGGTTTTCAAGCATTCTCTTATTTTCTACATTTGCTTTGGAAATTAAATAAGAATTTACAATAAAAAAAATTTAAAAAAAAAATAGTCCAGGATGGTTGCTGATATATACCACTTTGTGTCAACTGTGTGAATAAGGGGAAAAAAACCATATGTGCTACCGAAAAACTACTTTGCAGTTGTGAAAATGATAGTAGTTATTATTGCATTTGCACCCTAGGATGTGTGTTAATCTTGTTGTCTTTTTTTTTTTTTTGCCATAGATTTTTATCCTCCTGTCTAATTACTTGGTGCTTAAAATGTTGTTTAGTTGTGCTAAAAGTTGAATTGAATTGGTATTATCTAAATTATTTTTTTCCCAAGCATTATTAATCTAAATTAATTTAGATTTTTATCAAGTCATTTGATTTTAATAAACTCAACCCAAGCTTATGTTTCTACCTAGATGGATTGATTGCTCAACAATCTAAACTGGGTTATTTTACGAGGAGTTAGACCGATACATTTGGCCAAGAGAGTTCATATATTCAAATGAGTTAACAAATCAACGAACCATTACCTCTTTACAATAGAGCTCTGATATTTAAGAGCAAAGCCACATTACCAGTGCGCGGTATGGCCCAGAGGCGGACCCCATCAAAAATTTAGCTTGGGGGTAAGGTGGGCCCCACTTATAGGGATGAGATGGGCCCACTTACATGAATTTTTTTCTCCGTCTTTTGAACGGGTCCCACAAATAAAAACCTAAATGAAGGTCAAATCTTTATCACTGATACTATTGAATTGGGTGCGTCACATTTATAGAGAGCCAGCTGCCGTGCCGATTTCTCCAACCTTTGAGTCGTTCCAAAAAGTCGGCCTCATTTTTGTTTTTTGTTCTTTGTTTTATCAAGACCTCATTTTGTATGATCGCAGTGACTCAAAGCCTATGTGATGGAGGAGTCATTAGACTGACAACTAAAAGATGTGGATTTTGTATTCATTTTTGCAGCAGTTCAAGAGAAGATGAGCTCCAAAAGGGCAATAAGCTCTTTCAATTTTACCCATTTACACATGTTTGAGAAAATTTTACGCAACATTCATAGTCATAGGCCATCGTTTTCTCAACTATACTCTCTTTGGGCAAAAGTATCAAAAGAATCGCATGATTAGATATCTTTGTTGTAGAACATTGCCAACCCATTGTAAAGGCAGGGGTTGGGTTCGCTTCCCACAATGTGGGTTCTCATCCCAAGCTGCCCAACTCACCCAAGACCACATGAGCTTTACAGAGTTCGATTCTCATGCGTACGCCAGTTTGCTCCAAAGTTGTGTCATAAACTGCAATCCCACCACAGGAAAGGGCCTTCATTGTGATATTCTGAAGAGAGGTGGTTGCTTGGATTTATTTGCGTGGAATGTTCTACTCAACCTGTATGTCAAATCGGATATCTTGTTCGATGCACTGAAGTTGTTCGATGAAATGGGTGAGAGAAACACCATTTCGTTTGTTACGTTGATTCAAGGATGCACGCAATCTCTTCGATTTATTGAGGCCATTGAATTATTTGTGAGATTACATAGAGAAGGTCATGAGCTTAACCCATTTGTTTTTACTACAATTTTGAAATTGCTTGTGAATATGGAGTGGGCAGAGTTAGTTACGAGCATTCACGCATGCATTTATAAACTCGGTCATGACTCCAATGCTTTTGTTGGGACTGCCCTTATTGATGCCTATGCTGTTTGTGGTCTTGTTGATATTGCTAGGGAAGTATTTGATGGAATTATTCATAAGGACATGGTTTCTTGGACTGGGATGGTATCTTGCTGTGCTGAAAATGATTTCTTTGAAGCTGCTGTAGAACTCTTTGCTCAAATGAGGATGGTGGGGTTAAAGCCGAACAATTTTACATTTTCAAGTGTTATTAAGGCTTGTCTTGGCCTAGAGGCCTTTGACATAGGAAAGAGCATTCATGGATGTGCTCTAAAAATGCGTTATGAGATGGATCCTTATGTAAGTGCTGCTCTGCTCGATATGTACACCAAGTGTGGAGACATCGAGGATGCTCGGCGAGTATTTGAAGAGATTCCCAAAAATAATGTGATTCATTGGAGTTTCATGATTGCAAGATATTCTCAGAGTAACCGGAGCAAAGAGGCCGTGGAACTATTTTGTAGGATGAGGCAATCTTTAGTTATTCCTAATCAGTTTACTTTTGCTAGTGTTCTGCAAGCATGCGCAACTATGGAGGGTTTAGATTTGGGGAAGCAGATCCATTGTAACATACTGAAAATTGGTCTTGATTCAGATGTATTTGTTTCAAATGCCCTCATGGATGTCTATGCCAAATGTGGAAGGATGGAGAATTCGGTGGAGCTATTTATGGGGTCGGTGTGTAAAAATGATGTTACTTGGAACACAATAATTGTTGGTTATGTGCAGTTAGGAGATGGGGAAAAAGCATTGAATCTGTTTTTGAATATGCTTGAAGACCGAGTGCAGGCAACCGAAGTGACCTACTCTAGTGTTCTTCGTGCTTGTGCTAGCTTAGCAGCCTTGGAGTCGGGTACTCAAATTCATTCCTTGACTATTAAAACCACTTATGACAAAGATGCAGCGGTTTGTAATGGTTTGATAGACATGTATGCCAAGTGTGGGAGCATTAAGGATGCTCGTTTAGTATTTGACATGATGAGCAAGTGGGATGTAGTTTCATGGAATGCTATGATATCAGGGTACTCTATGCATGGTTTGAGTGATGAGGCTCTGAGAATGTTTGATAGGATGCAGAAAATGGAGATTAAACCAAACGAGCTGACTTTTGTTGGTGTCCTTTCAGCGTGCAGCAACACAGGATTGTTAGATAGAGGGCAGGCTTACTTTACTTCAATGGTAAGTGATTATGCCATTGAACCTTGTATAGAGCACTATACTTGTATGGTAGGACTTTTAGGGCGATTAGGCCATCTTAAAAAGGCTGCCAAGCTGATTGAGGAAATTCCATTTGAGCCTAGTGTCATGGTTTGGCGTTCTTTGCTTGGGGCTTGCATCATTCATAATGACATTGAGCTTGCGAGGACTTCTGCCCAGCATGTGCTTGAGATGGAACCCCATGATGAGGCAGCCTATGTGTTACTGTCAAACATATATGCTACGGCAAAAAGATGGGGTAATGTAGCTTATGTTAGGAAAAGCATGAAGAAAAAAGGAGTAAAGAAGGAACCAGGACTAAGTTGGATTGAGAACCAGGGGACAGTTCATTATTTCACTGTGGGGGATGTTTCACACCCTGACATTAAATTAATTTATGGGATGCTAGAGTGGTTCAACATGAAAAGCAGGAAGGCAGGCTATGTTCCTAACTGTGATGTTATTTTACTTGATGTGGAGGATGACGACAAGGAACGACTCTTATGGGTGCACAGTGAGAGATTAGCTCTAGCTTTTGGTCTTGTTAGGACACCATCTGGAAGCCCCATTCGTATCATAAAAAACCTTCGTATATGCCGTGACTGTCACTCTGCAATTAAGTTTATATCAAAACTTGTGCAGCGAGAAATTGTTATCAGAGATATAAACCGATTTCATCACTTTAAGGATGGGATTTGCTCGTGTGGTGATTACTGGTGATGTGCCTTGACAACTCAACCATTTCAGAATGGCTGAATTTGTCCATCCCTATGAGAAATCAAAAGTCACTGAGATTCATTTTTTGGAGGTTGGACTCTTGCTTTCATCTGGGTAAGTAACCAAAACCATATTTTGTTCTCTCTCTTCATGTCCAAGTCTTTATATATCCTAGTATGAAAGTTGACATGTTTTCATATTATCATAAACAGAGTACTGTAAGTCTCAACCTCTATATAAGGAACAACTTCCAGTAAACAATAAATTGTGTACACTGCTTGGAGTGAAAATGTAATCGAGATATAGAGATGACACCTATTATGAAACCAGTAGCATATTGAAGGATGCTATAGATATTTCCTAGTAAATGTAAGATGAAGTCACAAATAATAACTAGCCCAACATCACAAACTGTGTAATCACTTTCTTATAGTATAATCATATATGATTCTGATCATTTGCCTCTTTCAATCAGTCCGTGTATAGTATAATGATATAATCTCATTCTACATGAGCAAACCCACTGCACATCACTCGCGCTAATAGTAATGCCTTGGAATCAATTATTAAAAATTGGTAATATACTGTAAAATATATTGGAAAACATACTGTATTCTCTATTTACAGTGCATTTTGATTAGGGTAATTTTTTTTTTTTTTTTGTAGGTTTGGTACCAAAAAAAAACATATTGTAAAGAAAAGTTAAATGGCCTTGATAAAAAGCAGCTTCCGGCTTTCTGAAGTCAACGTGAAATTAGTGTATATGGGAGAATGGAGATGGGAAAAATCCATCATGATTGTTCTAACCCATTATTGGAGTAAATTTTTGTTTGCATGCCATGAGAAAGAGGAGGAGAAGGGAGGGCAATTAGAAGTGGCAAATTTATGTAGCAGATTTTAGAACTCAATTCGTCTAGATCATGATGCTGCTTCATCTTCATCTTTTTCGGTTATAGGTTTGTTCTTTCATTGAGTGGTGTCTCTAACCTTGCATTTATAGTTTTTAACAGTTCCATGTTTCAAAAAATTTATCTCAATTCGTCTAGATCTGTAAGGTTAATCCCATGATATAAATATGTAAATAAATAAAGTATAAAAACTAATGTTTATCTCAAATAATATACCCTTAATATACCCATGTGCTGGATCAAAATCATTTATATGTTACCTTGAGGAGCAGGTAAGCTGCAAGACAACCCAAATCAGAATCACTATATAAGATTGCAGACTTGATTTACTAATAGGGATATGAATTGTTCAAATTAAAATAAATATTAGTGGGTTAACCTTCCAATTCCAGAAATTTTCATTGGATGGTGAAAAGATTCTGAGAATATCATGAATAAATGTGATAAAACTTATAATCTTGTCAAAGGGTTCAGACTTTGCATAATTTGTTCTGCTATGAGACCCATCTGATGGATCTTATTTGTCACGTGATGATGACACGGTGACCATTTGCTGCATGGGACCTATGGTAGTACAGCTAGTAAAGCAAGCCCTTAGTCACATTGGTAGATTATGCAAGAATTTGAACATTGTACTGATGTTAGCAAGTGCACAATGAGTACTCTCCAGCACTTCGTTCCCTTTTTTACCTTGGTGATATTATATGCTGGAATTAAGCATAACCTAGCCCTTCATCATACTGGTAAAATATGTTTTAACTTTGTACTGATCCAAGCACTCTTTTCAGCATTTTTTTAAAATTTTGGTACCTTAGTAAATATTTTATCTGAACATTTAAGGGTTCAGAGAGACCTATATATTTGCACACCTCTGTTGAAAAAATTGTTAAGGAATCAAATAGAGATGGTGACAGTTGAATAGAATGTCTGTATTGATGAATAATCTACTTTGAACGAAAACATTGCTTATGCAAAATAGTTTCTTCGTTTATGGATTTGTTCTTTTATATTGAGGTTAAGGTTCTGAATTCTGATAAACATGGAAGTCCATACTTTGGCTTATGGATTTGTTCTTTTATATTGAGGTTAAGGTTCTGAATTCTGATAAACATGGAAGTCCATACTTTGGCTTATATTTTGACTTCTTCACATGAATACGAAGTATATGACTTAAATATTCAACTAAAATATCCTTACTGTGTGGTAAATTGTGTTCCTAGCTTTGTTTATTATTTATGTATTTTTTTGAATGATGCTGCGAGATCCAGAGTCATGACAGGAAGTCATTTAACATTAATTTGTACACGACATGACACGCCTAGAAAGAGTTTATTCATCCAGATGCTGGGGAGCTATATGTAAGAATTTTAAATGTTTAATATATCATCACACAGGTAAACTGAGTTTGTGAAATTTTTATCGTGTTATATAAATTTGCAGCCATACATTTACCGATAATAACTACTAGGTCAACATATCATTATTAATATTTATAAAAACTTTCATTTTTTTTTTTTTTTTACTGATTATTTTTTTGTTTTATCTGAAGGAAACCTGACTAGTCGAGTCAGTTTTGTTGATGAATACGTGAAAGTTGTATTTTGCTTTGAATAGGTTGATGTATGTACATGGTTGTAAGATAAAATTAATATGATATTGTCTCGTTACAATTTTTTATAATTGCATGGAAGCTGGCTACAGGCAGTTTCCGATGATGCTACCTCAGACTACCGATTATCATATAATTCGAGATGTCGTCGGTGATAACCGATAAGTCAAGCTACATGTGTGGGCTCCTTGTGGGCATAACACCCACTTCATCAGGTTAATTCATGAGAGCAGCAGCTCATAGAAGGATTGACGGACACAAAAAAGGGAGTCTTGCAAAAGAAATGGAAAGAGTTAAATAATTGGAAGAGAAGATCGAGCCAAGGATGGAGGGTGACTTTTTGATAAAGGAGAGGATGCTTACTTTATTTTTGTTATTTCACATTGTTTTCTTTTTTGAATTAAAAATACTTTAATATTTATTTATTTTATATATTACTGTAGTTTTTGTCTACCTTGTCTCCTCCCTTTCAGACTTCGTTGGCTGAAACATTTGGCTTCCAAGTTTAATTATTATTTCATTGATATAGAGCATCTTCCGGCATGAAGTGGATGCTGTCCGCATGTTATGAATCTGAACCTTTTGAGTAGGGTCTGTTAAATGAAAATGAAAACATTAGGAAAGAGAATAATAAAATCATAGAAGAGCAGGGTTGAAAAGATAACTTGGATTTGAGATCTTGCTGAGGAACAGACGTACACAGGGATGACCTACACAGGAGGCTTCCGTCCTAGAAATATTCTAAAGTGCAACACCCTCATTTCCTTTCAGTAGAACAAGGTTGGGGGCGCAAGGGTAGTGTTTTTGGAGCGCAAATATCACTTACCCATTCCAAAAGTCACTGGCAAATTGAAGATAAATGAATTAACTTTAACGTCTCAGTCTCACTTCTAAATGAAGGCTGGTCTAGAGAAGAGATCATTTTACTTTTAACAACAATAGGAACTAGAGAAAGAGAGGAAATTGTTCACAAGCTTTCTTAATCAAATATAGCTTTTGGAAATTTGTATTCAGTGTATCTAAACAATATTTAAATCCTATACTTCAATAATTAATTCATGATTCCCACCACAGTACTATTACGAAAGCCAACCGAAGTATATATTGATTCAAGGGAAAGGCTAAAAGTAGGAAACAGGGTTGGTTTGAGGCTCACAATCCAAAATGAGAAGGATTTTAGCAACTCATAAAATTGCAGAAAATCCTCCTCCTGGCAAATTTGCCACTTGCAACATGATCTAGCTTTTGCCTTAATTAAGTTTCTACATACCTCCTTATGTAACAAGGCATATCAAAGAAAATTAACTTTCCCCAACCACCGTTCAGGGATTACAAAAAGCCCATAAATACAAAAGAAATGAAGTAGTGGTGACTTTTTTTTTTGATAAGTAAGTAGTGGTGACTTCAATCATTAACAAAACCAATCTCCATCCTGACAGCAAAATCACCAACCCTACTTCCATCCAGACAGCAACTTTTTCACCTCCCAATGGAATCTTCTTCTTTTTTCATGGCAAGAATGTTAGGGGTTAATGGTTTAGTGCAAAGGCTCGAAGCCGAGCTCCCAAGGATAACGGGAGCAACCCTACCGCTTGGGGCTACGAAGGCGTTCGCCTCCCAATGGAATCTAGAGAAGCTTTCATTTCTTAAACTTTGCTACCTATAGTGAGCTACCATGCGCATGTAAGCTATTACATGGCAATTCTCCATTGGTTTACAACACCATCTTAATTTCACTAGCTGTTCACATGAACCAAAGGCAGATGTGTCACTCGCTATTGCAATCAAATAGTTTGTACAAGGTCATGTATACAACCGCATCTAGGCCACTAAGACACCTCCACAAAGTTTAACACCTCACTTTGCTCAATGAACCCATAACAATTGAAATTTACTGCAGAATACATCCTCGGATGTGTTTTTATAATAATTTTTAAGTATGTCAGTTCATTAACATTCTTACAATACAGTAAACCAACGCCAAACTCAAAAGTCATTCAACTTTCTCCCAACCAAGAATAAATTAGCCAATACGTTCCATAAAAAATTAAACCATGACCCATATGAGTTCTTTAGATAAGTTGCATCACCAAGTACCCATTCTCATAAGACATTCAACAGTCCCAGCAGCAGCCAATTTTTTGTAACTATACATGCTTTGTCTATTTGACTATCAACATCCCGACGCTTATCCAAATTGTAGCATAACCAAGTACCCATTCTCATGAGAAACTCAAGACTCCCAATGGCAACTAAGTCTTTGTAACTATAAATGCTCTGTCTATTGAATCATCAACACCCCAACACTTACCCAAATTGTAATTTGCACCAATGTTCAAATGTCCAATGCTTACCATTTAAAAGAGGAAAGGACAAAAAAAAAAAAACTAGAGAAAGCTAGGTTAATGGTGTTATGGTGATATCAGTAGCGTTTTGAGGAAGACAGTACATTACCATTGAGGAGAGTCAAACCTATCCCCATTAGTAGGCGGGAGCATCTATTCCTGGATAAGGTCTCCTCCATGTACTTCTTGGCAGAGTTTGTTTGACAACTCCACCAAATTCTCTTATGTCCTCTTGTATTTTTAAGACTGCAGGAATGGTAAAAGGATAACTATAGCAGATGATGATGTTGAAGAAGAGATTGAATATTGGAAGAACTCAATTATAGAATATGTCAATTGGGAAGAAACCTTTCTTCAAAGCATTTATCTCACGTAGCTGGGCTAATGAAGTGAAGGTTATTTCACTGAAAGACGGGCAGAATTGGAAAGAATTTTACAGCAGCTTCACATGGATGAAGAGTGACCCATAATTATTAAATGGTGGATTTAAAAAGTGAAACTAGATAAGGACAATCATGGTTAGGTTCCAATATGGCTAAAAATTCATGGTCTCCCCATTCACATAGCAAAGTGACTTTGGGCTGTGTCAAAGATTTGCTCCAGTTATTTGAAGCCTTTGTCCTTGGATGAAATATGCATAAAAGGGGTCAGTTTATTTGGGTCATGGTGGAAGTTGATGTACATGATGAATTGCCAGAAATACCTAATATATTCGCTCATGGAGTAGATTGTCAAATCCTTTTTGTTCTTATTGCAAGAGGATTAATCACTTGGTGTCTCGATGTCCAAAGAAACCTATTGATGCTCTAAACCTAAGGTTTCTGAAAATTGGGTCATTGAGGAAAAAGGAAGGCTTGTTAACAGGGTGATTTGTTGGACTTGGGAAATCACATGGGCAAAGGAATAACATCCAATTCTGATACATCAGATGATCTAAACATCCATACTTAGAATTCTCTCTCCTCTCTTGCTGAGGATGTAGGGAATGAATCTCTTGATATTGAGGAGAAGATAGTTGAGGAGCAAGCCGTACACACTGACTGATAACCACTAACACAATGGTGCATAATACTTAAGTAGTGAATAAACAATTTGAAAATGAAGAGGCAAAAATTGCTGAAGGGCAGAATGCAGAGGAAAGTATAGTAGCTCATGGAGATGGAGGCGGGTCTCAAAACCAATCGAGTCTGTTCTGGTGATAATAACTAATAAAGCTTCAATTGATTGAATTGACAAATATGAATACTTAAACAGAGCCTAATAAGCCTCCCAACCACAAAGGAAGAAGGATCAGGTGGCAGCAACTGATCAAGTTACAAGGGGAAGACTAGCAGAATCCATCAGTTCAACCTTCTCAGTGATGGGTAGCTAGAATGTTAAAGGTCTGAATGCACCTCAAATGCAAGAAGAGGTAATTAATTGGACGCAATCTGCTAAATACTGCTTTGAATTCGATATCAATAAGATTAATAGGAAGATAAGTAGTTGGTGGAATTGGTTGGAAATTATAATTCTGATGTATGCTGTTTAAGATATAGATTCATGCAAGAATTCTTTATGACTTCTATGATTCTATCCATGCTGCTCTAATAAGGGAAACATGCTATCAATGAAACAATTAGTGGACTTCTTCATGAGGAAAATAAGGTATTGCCGTAGTTGGGATTGATATAGTTCACAATGAAAAAGTGCAAAAACAGACTTGAATATTAGAAAATAATTCAAGGGAAAAAAATATGAGGATCAAATTGGCGTGACAACTAGCATGAAAGGGGAACATCAGAACCCTAGCTGGTATAGAATTTTTTTTTTTTTATTTCCTAGTTTGATATAGAATAATTTTAAGTTAATATAAACATATGTCTCCAATAACTATAACATTTGGTAATGCCTCATCAACCATCATAACAAGGATAAGAAAATTAGATAGAGCCTGAGTGTCAGACTTTCATTCTATAATTCTGTTTCAGTTGATTAGGACCAAGTAAGAACAAGGTTAAGGCAATAGCAAGATAAATAAAGAACCAATTCAATTCCAAACTAAGTACCACAACATATATATCATTATTATTAATATTATCATTGGAAGAAACAAAAAGAACTTAAACCATCTCAGACACGCACTTGTTTTCCAACTCTGCCATGGCCGAGGGTTCTAAGTTGTTGCTCTCCAGCTGAAGTCACGAAAACCCCTTTTGAAGCTTTTGTATGGCAGTGTACATTTTCCGCCTCGATCCAACAGCATTTATTCCCATATCCTTAAGATCCTCCAATGTCAACAAGGGCAAAACTTCTTCATCCACCTCATGTATCTCAAAAGCCGGAGCATACCGGCCTAGCCCCAATCCAATGAGCCAACTTCTTACTCCATCGTCAAGAAACCACCTATTGGGTCCCCTCTCGCTGCCACTACCGAAATTCCTTTCTCCACTCGTCCCACATTTACCGGAATCCGGCATCCGATCATCCTGAACCCGGTGATGATCCCAACTCTCTGAAACCCTAGCCCTAGCCAGTCTCCGACTATGCCCGGCCCAAAAATTAAGCCCAACAGCATTGTCAATGGAATGAACAGGACTACTATGTTCCTTCAAAGGACTATCTGAACCTCCAGGTTCGAAATCCCTAAAATCGTCATTATCATTGTCTTCCCTACTGTCCCCTACCGCTCCGTTATCAGCCTTCGACGCCCCCCAATTCGTTCTGACTCTCTTGGTGGGTCTCTTAGGTTTCGATTCCTTCGGCTTCCGGTTTCCGAAATCGAGATTGTCCTCGGTTTCTAGGGTTTCATGGCAATCGACACCGTTAACAAGATTGGTTAAAGGGCGAGTCTTGGAGGCTTTCGCGGCGAGAGCTGCAGGGTCCTTGTGGAACCTCCATGGCTTGGGTCTACGGGCATGAGAATCGTGTGAGAGAGTGGCCGATTGGTCGCCGATCTCGCCCAACCGGACACTGGGCCGACGTTGGCGCTTTGGGGCTAAGTTTAAGCCAAGGTGGTTGTTGTTGTTGTCATCGGCCGAAGCTGGTAGTAGTGATGATGTTGCGGCGGTGGTGACTGTGGTGGTTGGCGGTGCTGTGACGGTGTTAATTAGGCCTTCCGGTGGCTGTAACTCTGCCATTAGTACGGGGTGTAAGAGTGAGAAAGTCAAGAGCGCGTAGGATAAGGGAAGGAAATGACTTGATGGGGAGTAGAGAAAATCTGGTCGCTCTAGCGGTTGTTATTTACTCCCTAAAATGGGCATCACTAAGGGCCTGTTTGGAGTTTGTAGTGTGGTGTGGTGTGGTGTAGTGCTTTAGCCTAGAACAGAATAAGTGTTTTGTAGTGTGGTGTTTTGAAATGAGAACAAAACATGTTTGGTGCGTTACAATTGCTATGAGAATTTTGGAACAAAAATATGGTAGAACATGTTTGGCAATGTGTTTCGTTCTAAGAATTATGAGAACAAAACATGTTTGGCAAAGTTAAAGTGTAACCAAAATCAATAAAAAAATATTATTAAAAATTAAATATATAGTAAAAATTAATTATTGCATTATTTTAATATACAATTAATATAACATTTAATATATATATATATATATATATATATATATATATATATTGTTAAAAATTCTTCTTAATTTATTATAAAAACCAATAAAATATATTCTAAATTTTAAAACTTATTAATGTTGCATATTATTTTGACAGCATTATTTCAATATCGAACTGAAATAAACTTTCAATATATTAAACATTATATGAAATTGTATATATTACAGACATTAGTTTCATAAATATTACATCATTTGTCAACATGCACAATAAAAGTGAGTACAAAATAAAATTAAACTAATATATTACATCATTTATCAACAACCACAATAATCAACATCATTTATCAACAAGCACAATAATCAACAACAACAACATGAGAAATGACATAAAGAATATAGTTATAGTAAGACGACAACAACAACCATAGATAATGTAATTTTGCCGATTTTGTTGAGCTTGCATAACAGCAACTACATCCTCCAACTCTTCCTCCACATGACCACCCATTTGTAGATGTTGGTGCATGTCATCCACCCATATAAATGCACGAGCATGTGACTAAATCAGAACAAAGACTTGTATATTATTAGAGTGCACTTATGACACACACATGTAGTTAAAAAAAAAATTATTAATTAAAAAAAAAAAAATGTATACCTCCCAAGCTGGATATCTATAGAATGAACGTCCATAATTCTTTGAAGTTGCAGCCGTATAAAGATTCATTCGACCCCTTCCACATGCACACGGTGGCCCGTCACCCTGTATCTTATACATGACTGCATAAACAAGTTATTAAACTGATCCAAAAAAGTTAAAAGTGAAAATTAAAATAAAATAAAAAAAATAATCATATAGTTACCACAACTTTTACATTTATCGAAATCGTAAATTAATGTTAAAATAAATATTTTATTACAGTTATCCAAATCCATACAAATAGTTAAAATAAAGTAGTTGTTACAGTTATCCAAATACTAACAAATGGAACAAGTATAAAGTAATTCTTACAGTTATTCAAACATGATAAACATGTAAATCCTTGTTCAATGGTGCTGACTTGCATTCCATATAGTGTCAGCAATATTATCGCGTAGAATATCCATTGGTCGCGAGCGAGACTGCGATGCATTAGGCGGAACATCAACTTCATCATCTCCAAAAATTTCATCTATCATCGCCTCCACAGTTGCATCATTAAATATTGGATCTACATGCGCCTCCTTTCTTATAAAGTTATGAAGTGTGCAGCAGGCTAACACAATAGCAACTTGAGCTTCAAACTTATATGAGGGCATTTGCTTCAAGATGGGGAATCTCATCTTAAGCAACCCAAAACAACGCTCAATTATATTTCGTAATGACGAGTGCCTGTGATTATATATTTCCTCTCTACCTTGAGGTTGGCGAGAAGCTCTACGGTACTCTTGGAAGTGGTACCGTTGGCCCCTGTAAGGGGCCAAGAAACTCGGTTGATTGGCATACCCTGAGTCGACCAAATAATATTTCCCTGCCATTTTACAAACTATAAACCACATTTTTTTACCATGATATTTTAAATAAGTATTACAAAATTATAGTAAGTATGACATTTACCGTCTGGAGGCATTGGGAAATGCAAATCCTCATTATTAATGGTCTCGTTCAATATCTTAGAATCATTAGCAGACCCCTCCTATCCTGCTACGATGTACGTGAACATCATATTAAAATCACAAACAGCCATTACATTTTGTGTGGTATCTCCCTTCCTACCACGAAATGGTATTTGCTGGTCCACAGGCACGTTCGCATGGACATGAGTTCCATCAATTTCCCCTACGCAATGCCTAAAAAAAGGGTGGTACTTTTTGTTCTTCTTTATATGGTTAGGAACTTCGCTAAAATCTAGGGCGACAATAATCTGTTTCCCTAAATCACAGACTTTTTGTAAAACTGCATGGAAGTATTTTGAAATTGTATAGGTGGAGTGTTGAAATCTTTCGGCGACCACACGATTTCTTTCATTATGACCTAAAGTAAGCAAGAATATGCCAACTTGTTCATAAACACTTACACCTGTAGAGTCTTTCAACCCTAATGACTTAAGCTCCCCACATAACTTCAAAAAAACAGGGGTGGACATCCTGAAATTTTCAAAACATCTATTTTCATGCCCCTGCAAGATCTCCATTATATATGCTTCCCCAGTTAAAAGAGAATCCCTACAAGGTTGTTTATCGTAATGTTTCCTATAATACTCCAACATGCATGCCATTACGATGACACAATCATTCTCCTCATCACCATCGTCATACAAATCAATTATTGTCCTAATATCCATCTGTATAAGTCAAAATTTAATAAACGAGATTAATTACAATCATCCCAAGCGAAATACCAAATAATAAATAAAAGTAAGACAACAAATAAAGTCAAATCAGTTCATTAAATAGTTATATTGTCATGAGCTTCAAACTAAATAACATAAATACGAGTGTACTTAATATTACAATCAATTAAAGTCATAACAACACCAAATAAGAAATAAAAGCAACACATCAACTAAAGTATACTTAATAGTACAGTCATCCAAAATTATAATAAAAGCAACATACCAAATTAAAGTCCATTGATCCAACTAACCCTCTTATCATCAGGACAGTCATTAAGAAAGAAATCCCTCCAAATTTCATCATTGCGTAACATCTGGGTGACCTTACCATATTGTTTCATATTAACACCCTCCAAGTTATTCAAAATATAACAACATAACTTAAAATCACTTTTTGTCTTGTCGGGAGAATTGACTTCAACCTCCACATTTCCTTCATTAACTGTAATCATATTAGATGATGAAGAAGCGACTATAGCTCTTTCAATTCGATCTGCTTTCTCTCTATCTCTCTCTTTCATATAGTGCATGAGCTCGCTCATTGTGGAGGCAAAACTCTCTCTCTTTGGTTTCTTACCACGAGGTTCAGGAGAAGGACTGAACTCATGACCGCCTAACTCAGCAAAATCATCATTAAGGTCAAATGAGGTATGTATGTCTGCATGGTGTGCAGGGGCTTGGTTCATAATGGGTGGACTATACGAAGTATGGACATGTGCACCTTTAGCGTGTGTGCCTCCAAATATGGTGGTGAGCTTGTCAAAATGATTGCATGGCTTCTTTCGATACTTACTATATTGGGCATTCACCTACAAATTATTAAATTACTATTAATATTAAGATAAGTATACTTTTTTGTAAAATCAACAGACATTTATTTTAATAACTAACATTGATCAATCTACTCCATCTTTCTTTTTCAACTATAACCATGCTTATCTCAGCATTGAATCCCACGCCTGTTTCTCCTAACAGACTCACAAACGCTTTGTAGTCTGTTCTCAAGTGGTTGAATTTACTCTTAAGTTGTTTCAGTACAAGATTGTTGCCTATACGGACCATCATGCCTTTTAGTATATTCTTCCAACCAATTGCACTAAATGTTGTGTTACTCCGATTACCAGCCTTCACTTCTTCCTCCATACAGATAATGAAAGCTTCAACCTGAGAATCATCCCATACTAGTTTTCCATCATCGGTATTGTCTGTAAGGTCCTCTATTTCTTCTCCCACCACATTGTCAGCATTGATATCCATCTAATTACATAGTTTTAATAAAAATGTGTTAAAAGGGTCATATATGCTCTAAAACTCTCCATCTTCCCCATTACCAAAATCTTAAATCGCAATACATAAGAGATTTAAAAAAAAAATCTTAAAGAAGTATAGTCTCTGGGGGTTTTTCACATCACTTGTAATACCTTCTTTTTGCTTGGTTTTTATTCAAGCCTTACCATTCAGACTACAAAAATGACAAAAACTTTGAAAAGCTCTCCTTTTTTATTCTGATTTCATTCTCTTGCACCCTTATTTTCCTTCTTTTAAAAAAAAAAAAAAAAAAAAAAAAAAAAAAAAAAAATTCCATTTAGGAGCAGTAGTACTACCAGTGAGGCCAAGATGGCTCAGGGGTCATCAGCTCCTTTGAACATAATTACCTTTTATACAACTTTCAACTCTTTATACCTTTTTACTTATTTTATTATTATTATTTTTTTATGCTATACTTCTTCTTCTTTTTTTACAATTATTGTGAAGAGACATCTACAATAATTAGTCTTAGATTGTTTATTTGTGAAAATATAGGTACAGCAAAAAAGGACCACACTTGAAACAGAATGGCGTTTTCGAAGAGAAGGTGGATTCTATTTCTATGTGTGCTGGTATATGAATGTCCTCTGCGTATTTATAATTCTTCATAGAATACTACCAAAGTTGGAGATTGCTGCTCTCTCCAAACTTAGTTACTCCAATTATCTTCTCCAAACTAGTTTCTTCAATTATCTACACCACCTATTTCTTTTTTATTTTTTTTGTAATCAAGAAAATAACAGAAACTGATTTTTACTCTGTTAGTGCAATTCTGCATAATCTTTTTTTTTTTCCTTGCTTTTTTTTATGAGTTCTTTTAATTTCAATATCTAACTTTTATTGTTCATTAATGTTTTTTTTTCCTCCCCTCAGAAAGAAGAGTTGATGGAGGTTGAAGATTCCAAGAATAATGAGGATTTAAAGAAATTAATTAGTACTGTAGTTTAACAAAAAAAATTATTTTACTTTTTTAGTCTTTAGGTTATGTATAGGATTTTTTTTT